TGTATCTCGAAACGGGCTGTCTTACTCACCATCTCTCTCCAAGTTTTCATCCCTCTGCACTATGTGATTAAATGTGTGTATTCACCTGGCAGAGAGGGGCAACACAATGCCTCGTGTAATTTTATCTCCGCACACAAATGGCGACCGGCGATGCGATGCAGCGATGTGATGCGAACTTGAAGAAAAAAGCCTGCAACACACACACGCACGTAAAAAGAATTAAAATGCGGGCTGGTTTTTTATTTAAGCAGAGGACAATGCACAAATGTACAATGCGAAACGACGTGTAAGTCAATAATATTTAAAATTATTGCCCGAGTGATGAGAAATCACAATTGTATTGGCCTATCTTCTCCATTTGATATTTAGACATTTGACATCTGCTTTTTTGGATATTTACAACGAATATGCCTCTGCGCCATGAAAAAACAAAAGTCTTTTGGAACAATACTGCTCTCAAGAAAGAATCATATTTACAATTCGTGTTTAGGAATAATTCTTGTTGTGCACGTACATGAAAATAAACGACGATCCTAAGTCAACAACGATAAATAATATTCAGCATGAATAAGTTAGGTTAGAATTATCATCTACTGACCTTGAAATTAATGTCAAATGTCATTTTTACCATTGTTTCCCATAACATACTCCAATATAATATTTTTTGACTTTTGACAGTTCGCACATGCATTTTAATTGATATTCCATTCCACTGTGAATAATGAAAGTTCCGGTGTGGCGGTGTGGGTTGCAGGTGGAAGACCCAAAAACACTGTAAATGTAAACCATGCATACGAAAGCGAATGTAAGCGAACGCATCCGGTTATATATGTTATATCATAATGCCCTCTGCGTGCCCATTGAATGTCCTCTCTTTTCGAGGCACCTGTGTGTGAGTGGGTCGCTCGCATTCGAATAAATGCATTAGTGCGATACACACACTCGTCACGCGTGTAAGTAGTATACCTGTGACGCTCTGACCCCTGACCTGCCTCACGCTGACCACATTGGGTCCGAGACCTGCCGGACCTACCCCAACAGAGCAAAACGATTCAATTATCAACGCAGTCATGCATAGAAATATTGGACAAGTGCATATATGGACCATAACCTATATTAAGACAGCCTAAAATTGAAAATTTTAAATTTTGGCGGGAAAACCAGTTTTGAGGTTAGAAATTTGGTAATTTTTCTTATATTTCACACTTTTAACCTCAAAAATAAAAAAATTTTGCATTTAAATTGAAAAATAAGTGAATATAAACAACATAACCTATATTAACATAACCTAAAATCAATATTTCTTTGTTTTTGACGATTTTTTGCTTTCGCATTGAGTGAACATGTAAACAACAGCTGCGAAAAAGTAAATTCTTTGTAGCCGGAACACATGCCTTATGTGTGCAATGTGCATCGAGTCAAAAGAAAAGGATTTAAGCATATTGTGTGTCATGGTGCGCTCAACATCAATTTCGGTTAACCAAACTCAACAAAAAAGAGTTTGCGTTGGTAAAATCCGTGACGCTGCATAAATTAAATATTCTCATAATAAAATATAAAATATTAAAGTGTGAAATACGCGAAAGTCATTAAAAAGCAATTAGTTTTATGAAAATTGCTGTAAAATTCTAATATTTTAATATTTTAATCTCACATTTGTGTCAAATGCCAACCACAACTTTTAAAAGAAATCCCTGTGAAGTTAATACCTGAAAATCCGATAAGAAGCTTGAAAATTCAAAAATTTCAACCCTAAAATCTTAAAATAACGGTAAAAGTCACTTTCATGATAGATTACATCTAATCAAGTTCACGTTGATGTTTAATTAGTGTTTTTGACGCAACTGCAAGTGCAGCTGTCCGTTGTTCTGCAGAAGTCATTATAAAAATACACCGGGGATGAACGCTTCGTCTTCTTCTTCGTTCACAGCATGCCAACTGTTTTCCGCGTTGCTCTCATTTCTCTTCCGTTCGCTAAACAAGCGCATCGAGTGAATCCGAACAACCCCTTGAACGCAAGTTCCCACGTTTCCCACGATATCTCGCCGATCTCGTAGACAATCGCATCGGATGCACCGGTTGCTCTCTGTGCGCGCAACCCTTGAGAGACGGGATGCACCATGCATTTCCTTTCACGGATGTGAATCCTCCATCCGCATCATCTCGTCACTCGTTACGCTTCGCCTTGTACTGTTGACAATGCGTTTTCACACATTGCGACCCTCAACCCCAAAACGCATTTTTGGATAACCCTACTGTATTAATCTATATAACAACTAAAATAAGGGTGGGTTAAGGGTAGATAGAGTTTTCGGAGATTTTTGGAAACGTTCACACGATCGATTTTAATCCATTGAGTTTTAACCCAGAAATATTTCTTAGGGGTTAAATTTTTTAGAGTTTTTTGGTAAAATTTAAGGGGTGAGCAAATATAATACATTAAAAAACGCATCTATATTTAAGTTGAAGATGACTGACAACCATGAGAATTTTTGAAGAATTTTACGCTTTTTCCAATTAAAATAACGAATTTATTTTATTTAAGGGTTGTTTTTAAAAATAGTCCATGCACGTGTAGTATACTCGTAGGAAGCGACCGAAAATAAAACAGCGTCGTGAGCTCGTCACGCGTTCGCTGGTCTTTTTTTTTCGCCGCCCCGGTGTCGGTGTTTACGTCAAGCGCCATCGCCACCACCACCACCACCCTCGGCGCCTCGAAGCAACAGGTTGTCGACGGTAGCGAGAAACGGCACGAATCGCGCGAGCAGGAATTACAAAAAAGTGAAAATCTTGCTCTACACAATTTTTACTTATTTAAGGAGAGAAGAAATAATGTAAGAAGGAAAGAAAAATGGAACATTAACAAAATACAGAGTTTTGAAACTGTAAAATTTTGAATTTCCAAGAATTTAGTTTCTATGATTAGTCACGAGTCATTTGTATAATTTTGTAGAAACTTAAATATGCATGGTAAAATATACAGGGTGTTAAATTTAAAGAAAAACTTAAAATGTATAAAAATTTTAACCAAAAATATTTTAAAAATATAAAAAAATTTATTTCTGAGAAATTCTAGAAGTATTGAATTTAATTTTGATTTTCTTTTCATTTTCACTATGTGTAGTTGTTCACTATATAATACCTACGCACTCTTGCAATCTTGAGTTCTCGTTCTCGGGGTTGGCAGCCCTCCGCCGGACACTCCAGTAGACCAAGCATAGATTCTATTCGAAACCTTTGTCCACATGCGCAAATTCACACTGGTCAACTGCGTTCAGCACGCATACATACTTCGGCACGCGCAGCGGGAGTTGAATTTTCTGCCTACACTTTTCTTCATCACAAATCTTCGCCTATCTCTCTCTTCAACGCGTTGCTTGGATGTGTAGTGGTAGTGCTAGGTCACACTATGCATTGCAAACTAATGCTTTTTCAATTCTAACAGTGCCGACCAACGCCGCAGCTTCGGCCATTATTTTCGAGCGTTTCGAAGCGTTTTCGAAACGTCCGAGCTGTCAAGATGCTTAAAAATATATTGCGAATTGTGGAGATATGTGTATGGGGAAGAAAACTAGATACAACTACATATTATTAGGAAGATAAGATTTCTAAATGATAAAATTTAAAAATTTATTTTTGTGAAATTTTGGAAAAAAAAATCTAAAATTAATTTTTAAGGTTTCAAGGAACAGAATTAGGTATAACTTGAAAATACAAATGAATTGATATTAAATGTTTAAACATTGAAAATTGTTGAAAATTGAGTAAAAAACAAAAAAAATGCTTAAAAGTTAAGTTTTTAAGGGTAGTTTGAACGTTTGTATCTTAAGAATGTTAGTGTTCATGTATATGTGTGCGTAAGGGCGCATTTCACGCATCGCCCCCTTAACTACCTACCCAGTTGAAGTATTGTTTCGTTTCATCGTCGGCCTATTGTGCAATGCGAGATTTATCGTTGACAAAAAAAAAGAAAAACGAAATAACATCATTTACATCCAACGCGGAATGTAAAAGCAATAAAAACAGTAAAACTAAACCATAAACACTTACAATTATTTTAAACATTTCAAAACATTTAAAATAGATTAAAATTAATTAAAAAATAAAATAATTCAAACTATAGCCATAGTTGTGTATGTTTTACCTACGTGAGACGAATGTATCTATGTAAAATTGTCCGAGGCGAACGGTGCGCGTTTGATTTATCGCCGGAAGTATCTTAATGAACGAGAGGCGGCGCACAGGTGGCACGCGGGCGCAGTCCTGTGGGAACAATACGATCGAGCGCGTAACGTATGGCCGCGCATTACCGCCCGCACACCAACACACACACATACCTAACCTCACACCCTCAAATCACCACAAACGCCGAACTCGTCGAACGTATTAATTGCGTTCATCGGCAAACAACGGGATTAAAAATTTCCCCCTCAAGCCGAAAATATAATCAACAGGTGAAAAAAACCACAACACAAAAGTTAAAAATTAAATACTTACAAAAAGGTAGGTGGGGAATCATTTTTTATTTGCACCTAAAACAAAAAAAAGGAAAACACATAACAAGAAATAAACTTGTGCGCACGTCTATAGATTTCTATTTCTATTTCGATCCCCCGAATCGCGTCCTATCCCAATTCCAATCGCTATTCATTATTACGGTGCACTGCACAGCGCCGGCGAGGAAGATTTAGCGGCCGAGCGAGCACAGCAAGCGAAGAGATGTTTCGCCGGCCTGGTCCAGGTGCACGCACATAAATAAGCGCCGAAATGCTTTCCAAACTCAGGCCGAAAATGGCCGCGCAAGCTACTTCAATGCTTCAGCGGAAATCTATTCACACAATGCACAAATTCAGAAAAAGTTCAAAACCAATGATTTATAGGTTACGCTGTCAAAAGTCGCAACTGTCAAATGTCAAAAATTCAGTTTTTCAATGAGAAAAAAAGAAGAAACCTGTAAAAATAAGTGTGAGGATAGGTGAGTGATACAAAAACAAACGATATTGTTACATTTAATAACCAATAGTTTTATTATTTCATCTTAATATTATAATGTGTCATTGGGTAGCCGTTACGCAACACAATATACGCCCCGTGTGGAATGTCTGGTAGCTCTATTATGTCAAATAGAATTCAATTTATCATCTAGTAATCACAACTGGAACAATATTTAATTTAATGATAAGGACGCACGCGCGCCCCGCCACGTCGTGTCGTCGTCGGCGATTATTGCAAAGAACGACATTTCCTGCCAATCACAACCAAAAAACATCAACAACTCATCAAACGCCTTAGAAAAAACGAATACAAATCTAAGTAAATTACAATTATCATCATCGTCGACAGAACAGAAAACGCAAATTTTGGCACGGAATTCACATTTATGTAGTGTTACACGCGTGTAACAAAACAAAGAAGAAGAACAAAACATAATCAGTCTTAACAAATCCAATCAATCAATCAATTAAACTTATACATTTCGTGGCACATGATTTGGCTTAAACAATTCTTAGTGATATTTTAGTTTATCCTTGACACTCTGGATATGATTTCGTATTTGTAGTGTTGGTTGCATACCCAACCGAATAAATTACAAAAAGAATGTTTGTTTCAATAGTGGTTTTTGTTTAATATCTTCATAGGTAATAATTAATTTAACTACACAAACAAATTGGTAACTAACAATTCAAATATCAAATTGTTCATCTTACATACATATTATTTAACAAACAAAAATAATAGATACAAATTAATAAAAAATATCAAAAATCGGCGGAATGTTTGTTTTTCTTCACACAATCATCTCAAATCATCGTGAAACAAGTATCTTAAGACAATTTTATTTCAAAGGGTTGTACTTACAATATAATAAGAAATAGAACAAGTGGAAGAAGAGTTTTCCAAGGGAGGACAAAAGTTTCTTTAAAAGTTTTTCACTTCTCATTTTTTTATACATAAAAATTGCACTAATTTACTAGTCGTATATTCGCTTGTGATTTTCCTCATTCTAAATCGTGTCATTGTTGATCTGACCGAAGAATTTTAAATTACAATAATAATTTCTTTGTTTATTGCGTAAAAGAAAAGAAAAACAGTTAAAAATTCATTATTTTTAAAATCCTTCGATTAGTCAACACTTTTTATTAATATTTTTAAGGAATGTATTGTTTAATAAAGGAGAATCACAAGCGAGCCGACTACGATTATAATAATTGATTATTATTTTGTTTCCAACCCTATTTACTTTAACTTTAATTCACATTTGCGCAATATTTCAAATATTTCCATTGATAGTGATTTCTTCATTAGTAAAAAACAGAGAAGAAAAAAAAAACACAGTATTTGGCTAGTGATCATTGTTTGTTTGTGTTTAGTTTCAAACTGAGGTAGTTGCGTCACACAAAATGGCTGCCTTGTTTTTGTTGCTTGTCTTTTGCTTCATTTACGATATTGCAGGGTGTGCGCAGGCGCGCACACGCTCTCTTTGTAAATTTATCCATAGTTAATATATAATTAGTTAAATTCTCATAATATAATAGATTATATTTACACTTTCAAAAAACAACAAACATGTACATGCACACATGCACGCATTTTCTTTGTTTGCATTCCGAATTATTGCGTTCTAATAAATTAATATTTTGGCGTTGAATCGGAGATTTTAGTTTAGTTTTTGTCAACATCATCGGTAGGAACGAAACCCGTAGCGAGCAAAAGTATATTCTTTAATAAACCACAAAAAGAAAAAAAATCACCGCTTTTGTAAAAATATACCACCCACGCTGTCAAAAATGTCGAAAATCGTTTTTTTTTTACTGGCATCGTCACACACTATCTGTCCTAATTTGTACATTGTACGACACATCTGGTTTCCGTCATGTCCCTATCATATAAATATTACTATGCTGCAGTGTTTATTATAAATCTATATTGTATTTATATTTATATATATTTATATTATTGATATAGTAATAATTAATAACTGAGATGGCTGAGGTATATTGCTGTTTGTAGTTTGCTTGTCATTTTCTTTTTTTGTTAGTTATCGAGTTTTGTTTAGTTATTGAGCAAATTTGTTGTTATCGTCAGAAAGAAATCATATGTACAGGTTAAATATGCTTTTGTTTACCGGTTGTTGTCGTGTGTAGTGTTAAGCGCGTGCCTGGACAAGATGCGCCTGACCCTTGGCGTGCAGCTTCTTCGAGTGCGTCTCGCAGTGCTTGAGCATGTGATCCTTGCGGATGAAACCCTTGTGGCAAATGTCGCACGCGTACGGCTTCTGCCCGGTATGTAGACACATGTGACGCCTTAAGTCGGTCTTGTGATTGAACTGCTTGGGGCAAAGATCGCACTTGTGCGGCTTGTCGCCGGCGTGCTTGGCGAGGTGCTCCTGGTACTGCTCGTCGACGCTGAACCGTTTGCCGCAGCGCGTGCACTTGAACGGTTTGTCGCCAGAATGGAAGGTTTTGTTGTGCTGCGTGAGATAGCACGACTTGTTGAAGACTTTGTCGCAGTCGAAGCACTTATGGACGCCGTCCTTGCTGATTTGAGAGATGGCGGTGTTGCCGGAGGTGGATGTGATGCGTGGACTACCCGTGGGTGTTTCTTCGTAGTCACGCTTGATGTGTGCCTTCTCCGGTGATGCCGGCTGCGCTTCCAAGGGGACTTCATCGATGATCGGCACCGATGTGAGTACTGTGAGTTTGTAACCGCCGTCTTCCGGTGTGGCGACTGGCGGTAACGAAGCTGTGGTGTAGTAGGTTGTGGTGGCGGTGGAGTACGGGACCGTCGCCGGACCCGGGCCCCCCACGCTCGCCGCGTTGTACCCCAGCAGGAGCCCGTAACGATTGTTAAACTGGGCGAAGCTGGGCAACGGTTGTGACTGGCCTGGCGATGATGCCGGTGCCGTCACAGCGAATACGGCTGGTGACTGCTGGTGGAGCATCATAATCGATTGTTGCTCACCAGTAGTACTGAGGCTGTTGATGGTAGCCGCCGTATCCTGCGTAGCGTGGGGGGCACACTCGTTTGGGTACATCTGGAACTGGTTGTCCATAGTGGCCGCCGCCGCCATCATGTGGTGGTGCCCCGGCGGCGGGATGTGGCTGAAGCCATGACTGCTGGTGTTGGTGGTGTGCTGATTGTGGTGGCTGCTCGCCGGTGAATTGCTGATTGATAGCAGGCCCCTCGAATCGATGTTGGTGGTGGAAGCTGAGAGGCCTGCCTCCCCGTTTGGGGGACTGGCTGGGTGTGAGGTGGGCGCCATCGGCGAATGCAGCGGGTGCGGATGTGGATGGTGCGCGATATTCGGAGCCGGCTGCCGATCATAAGGTCCAGCTGGTGGTTGCTGCAGCAGGCCAGGCATCACCGCCGGTCGTTCATAGCTGTTGTTCATACTATCTTCGCTGCGTGAATCATCACCAGGACTATTTGAGTGATCCTCACGATTTGATACGCTATCTCTCGCAGGATGATGATGCGCACTGATAGGCATCGTGGCAGGATCCGGCTGACCGCTGGACTTCACCGCGTTTTTATGCAGCGTTGTGTTGTAATGACGCTTCAAATGACCAGAACTAGTGAACCATTTGTTACAAGCGGTGCAATTGTAAGTCTTAGGCCTTCTGGCTTCATTAGACTTCCAATTGGTGCCTTTGGAGTTCGTCGGCGGCGCAGTCTGCACCGGATTATTCGGAACTTGCGTGCTGGTGATGATTGGTGCTGCTGGTTGCGGTGGCATATGCTCAAAAGGCCGATACGCAGCCGCAGCAGCATGTTCAGCCATCATCGTCGGATACTCTTGCTTGATAAACTCATTCTGCACTTGCACCTGATTATGAAACTTGTGCGGAAACACCTCCTGGAACATCTTAGGCGACTGCATTTGCTGTTGCTGCGGAGGCGGCGCTTGCGGCGGCCCCTGTTGCGGCCAAGGACTTAACATAGCACTTACAGAATGTGGATTGTGTCCGTTCATATCCGGCTGCACTCGCTTGTCCTGCTCCTCGGGGTACACCTGATGGACGACCTTGTGCGAGTCCAGATCGAGTATTTCACTCTGCACATCCGGTTCCTCTTGCTTGACGACGACCTCCTGCCCGGCGCCGAATATAAAATGATTCTGCTGGTAGTTTGGGGTCGGAGGGTGCGCGACATTCAGGTGCTCGATGAGCTGCGCGGCCGACTCGCACACATACCCGCACTTGTCGCATTGTTTGGGACTAGGCGAGGGGGTCGGTTGTGGCGGGTAGGCCGGACTGGAACTAGTCACCTGATGGGTTGTATGCTGTTGATAGGGATGGTACCTGTAGCTTTGATGACCCATTTTAGCAACATACTCTTGTTGTTGGCCGGGTTGTTGCTGTTGTTGTGCGTTGTAAGCTTCCATGCCGTAAAACTGCGCGTCTTGAAAACTTTGGTAACTCTGTTGCTGTTGCTGCTGTTGTTGATGTTGTTGCTGCTGCTGTTGTGGTTGATTATTATAACCAGGCGAGAATGCCGAATTGTCTGGTGTTTGGTACGGCGACGATGCGCTGTGGTAACTCTGCGGCGTCGGCGGATGCCCGAAACTTACATTTATCTCCGGAGTAGCACGACTGCCATACTCAGGACTCTTCTTCATCATGGCATCGGAAGAATCCGCGGCCGCGATTGTATTACTAAACTCACGTTTAATAACGATGGGCTTATTTGGGCCGCTGGTCTGTGTTTGCGTTTGTGTTGTCGGCGGGGTGTTATTGTTGGTCTCGTCGGTGTGACCACTCGCGGTGGCTTGTGTCGCCCATTTGTTTAATAAATTCTCTTTGTGGTACTGTAGATGCACGTCGAGACTCTCCGCTGAGTTCAAATACAGACCGCACTCTTTACAATGATGTGGACTGGAATTTCCTGGCTGTTGCTGCTGCTGTTGTTGTTGTTGTTGTGTCGGCGGCTGTTGATACTGTTGAACGTTGTTAGCCATCGCACGCGCACAGAATCCAATCGTAGTTTAATTCAAGTCTCTTTCTTCCGCACTGTATAAATGTCTACTTCAATTTCGAGCGCGTGTTTGTGTTTAAATAATAAAAAAAAGTTTTTAAAAATAAAAAGACAACGTGCACTATGTTAATATCATAACATGTCAACAGTTCTTCGTCCGGGCGGCGGAGTAATGAAAACGAAATGCAAGAAACGCGTGCGCCTGATAATTAACATCACAACAAACGAAAATCGCAAGAATTAAGTCTAAACTAGCGCTTAGCCCATCTTAACACGTAGATGCGCGCGCTTCGCGTGTGAACAACGTGCGCGGATACACACTTTATTAGTTTTATTGTTTACGTTGATCAACCAAAAACGAAACACTCACGAATTAAAAGTAACTTGACGGAGAAAAGTTTTTGCACTGGCGGCGCACACTACCTACTGCTCTCGAATGAAGTTCGCAACTGAAGGAAACTTTTTGGTGTTTTGGTGCGCGACTATACAGCACTGTGTGTGTCTCTCTCTCTTTCGAGGTGGTTGTAAGTTGGCACGAGTAATCTCGTTGCCGGCCAGAGCCCGACTGGTCCTCGCATGGAGCGGTCCGCTTCTTGTGGAAATTCGGCGGTGCGGTGCGTGTGCTTCGAGGACGCCGGGAACAGGACACTCGGCCAATCGCAGCGCTCGCCTTAACGCCGGGCCGCCACGGCGCGCGCCCCGGGGGTAGGGGGCGAAGATGCTGCATTTTTGAACGTCGCCCCTCTCGCTCTCCACACCGGTGGCCCAAGTGTGCGTTTCGGACTTTGCGTATAGTGGTACTGCCGTGCAACCCCGGTAACAAACCCACACACAAACACATTGTATATTCCTGTGTGTGTGTGTGTTTGAATGTAGTACGCATTCTTCGAGTTTGCCACGCAACTCTTCAGGGAGCTATAATCGTACAACACCAACCGCATGACAATACGCAACATTTTTACACACACACAAAATAGTTTTGCATATTGTATTATAGCGTATCATCATTTTACTGTTATCTAAAACAAATAGTTTGAGAATATTGTATGCAACCACACTTACAGTTTTGTTTCCTTTTGTTTCGTTCGTTGCAAAGTTGAAAAAGTTGCAACATAAAAATGCGCCGGCGTTGCTTCTCGCGCGTTCCCCGGCGCGCTCATTCTCTCTCGGTCAGTAGTTTCAATGCACAAGGGCAAAAGTCCGTTTACCTTTTCGGTTTCGCTTAATTTTCGGCGGTCTTGCCGTCTTGCGAGCCGCGAGCGTCGGCTACCATTTAACTGCGAGACTGCGCGCGCGAGGTGTGATTAATTCGCCGCGCCGCGCAGCGGTTTTTTTTTTGCTCGCTTTGTCGAGATTTTCGATTTAAAATAAAATATTATTACTCACGCCAGCACGATCACCGCACCACTGACCAACAGCAACAAATTAAATATGCATTTTCAATTTATCATCTGGTTGTATCACATTTAAAACAAATTTGTTTATTTTTTTTGTTTATTTATTGTAATATATACACAAAACTAACACAAATAATTAATAACTCTTTATATTTATTATTAATTGATATAAACATAAAAGAAATAAGTTTTTATAGTTTTTATTCACAAAAGAAATCAATTTTTATACTTTTTATTTGTTATGGTGTTAATTGGGTTGCATAACCTTTCTTTGACACTGAAACAACATTCATGACAAGATGTCAAAAGATCAATCCGAGAGTATGGTGAGTTGTGTTTGGTGCAGCACGCATAAACAGAAGTCTAATTAAACAAATGAAGCGGAATAGTGCACGCGAAGTAACATGCATGTGTGTAGTGAAGTGCAGCAGTGTCCAGTTAAGTTTGGACTCAGCTCGTTCGACAGATCCACGTAAGTACCTATCGCATGCGAAATAAAAGAGACGCGCCGCCATGGCAAGAAAAACGAGCACGAGTATAGCGCGCGCGCACGCCGGCACACAAACACAGCGTGCACCGATATGCCGAAGAAACAAAAGATACATCGCGTCCTTGACGCTGCGCTCTACGACCAGCAGTATTCGCGAATACTGCTCAGGGTTAAATTACGTATGCAACACGAAATTAAAAGAAACGTTTTCAAATCGTCCAAACACAATTAACTCGGCTCACCAGGTCCGAACAATAAAAGTTTCTCAAAAAGTTTGTTTAATATTTCTGCACGTTTGAAGTTTCCCGTTTCAAGACGCGAAATAAATGAAGTTTAGTTGCACTGGTTGTTTTTGTTGTGTGTGGCCATGTTTTCGGACGTTGGTATATATTTTTAGTTGTGACGTTTGACGGACGCGCGGCTGCATTTTGCAAGTTTTGGCCGGTAATTAAATGCTTGACATGCTAATTTTGCTTAATTCGGTGTAACACATTTGTTTATCGATTGTGGTATGCGCGCGGTTTAATCGCCGCGGTGTAATTTGAATCGGAATAACAGCTCGAATTACGCGCTGCAAAAAAATCTAAATGCTTTAATTATTAACTGCTTAATTGATCGTTTGGTGTGAATTTTAGCATAATAAACTACTTGTCTATGCTAATTTTATTTTGTGCAGAAAAAGTACTAACGACCAATTAAAATCAAACTAATTTTTGTTGAATTTTGACTTGTAAATGCAATAAATTGAAGTCTAGGATAAAAAATGAGCAAGAAATGGTTAAATTTTAAAACTTGAGAGAAAAAAATGAAATTTAACATTATATTTCGTATTTTTAGGTTTAAGTGCCTATAAATTGAATAATTATTCATATTTTAATGGAATATTTCTTAAAATAATTAATATTATCAGAATTTACACAAAAATTTTCAATTAAATTTTTTATTTGCAAAAATAATCAAATTTCTTCATAAAATTAAAGAAAATTTAAGTTATTTTACTATTTATTACACTCTGTATATTAAAAAATTACTTTTTAGCGGTATAACTTCAAACATATGCACATTTTATAATCAATTTCCGGCTTGCCGATAATACCTCCCGCATTTCGTTTTGTTTTACAGCGTATTCAATATCACTATCAATAAATACCGCCCGGGTGTAATAATTACGTTTACGACGCCAGCAAAACGAAACTTTATTCAACCCTCACTGCACTCGCACCGCCGGAGACATCGCAATAAACGAATAAATAAATAAATTGGTAATGCCGATATTTTCGGCGTCAAAGTAGTTAAATTTCGCACGCAATTGAAATTTTACTTATTCACCAGCCGGGCTAAAATAGGGGTGGTCGGGTGGGCTATAAAAGTGCGTAATAAATGAGACGCGTTCAATTTCTGCAACGCGCACAGCATATGATTACAAAGTTGTAGATTGTGTTGCATACATTAATAAAAAAATGCCAAACTAAATGCAAATTGTGATACATAATTGTTTTATCGTATAAATAAATAAAATGCACTATCACACCAGCGGATACAACGTCGAGTGCATATTAAATTTCATAAAATGCACCCGTGGCGACAGCCGCTCGTTAAACAAACGAACTCAGGCAGTGGGCGCCCGTCCTCTCACCTCACCTGCACTTTTGTGCACATTTCGCACACTGCACACTCCGTAATGCGCTCAAAGTGTGCCCTGTGCACCACGATAATCCCATTAGGGTGTGATTAAACAATTGTTTCGCAACGGGGTGGACGCCACAGACGATTTACGCCGATCCGCAACTATAATCACACTGCTGCACATGCACCGTAGTCAAGTGAACGTAAGTTTGGTTGCATACATTACCAACACACACACACACACACACGCACACATATTATATAGATGATGATATATTAGTAGCATAGGGTGATTTTACCACCGCGTGTAAATCAAAATCAACCCTTTGGAGGCGCGGGTGTCTTGTGTGGGTGAGCGTTTGCACCGCTAATAAAAAAATGCGCCTCTCATCACGCCCGAGCGCACACACCCCGCGCGGGCACAGATAGGGGCAAACACGTTTATATCTCTATACACCGCCACCGCCGAGTGGTGGTGGCGGCGGCGTGTGGCAGTGTGGCGTCGAGCGACGCTCGGCGTTTTTTTTTTTTCATTGCGGCGCGGTGGTGGCGGCGGTTTCGCACCGCGACCAAAGTCGGATTTTTAACCTGTTGCGTACATAACTTTTTATTAACACCCTGCGGGTCCCACAGCGGTGTTCATTTTTTTTCCGCCCGTTTTTATAACTGTATTATGAAATATTGTTGACATTTAACACATGAGCGAAGTGTATTTGGTGGCATAACTTTATATTTTCACAGCGAAACAATTGAAAACTTCGCGGAATTTTATACTGTTATAAATAGTTAATAGGATTATGTTTAACAAGGTGTCGTTAACACATTTCTTTTATTTGCTAAGCCTGGCGCTGTGCAAACGGCTGGGATAACCGCTCACTAATGACACAGTTTTAAAATTTTCCGAAATTATAATCGCCGGTTGAACAGGTTCTTTGCTAAATCTCCACCCACATGTACGGAGTAACTGCTGGTAATTGCGGTCATATTGTACGCGCATTCTTCGTAGATGGTGAGAGTGATGATGATGATGATGATGATTCAAGGTGAGATGGCCGGGCCGGCGAACTCGCCGCGCGCTGTTTTTATTGCAGCACCGCGTCTGCATGCATTAATTGCGTCCCGAGGCGAATTCGGATGCTGTGGCATACACCAAGTGCACACACAATGTAGAAAAACCCATTAGACATCAATTTATATACAAATTTAATTAAATTTATCAAAATTACTTAGGTTATGTCGTTTTTACTGTATAATAGAAAGTGTGGTTAGTGTATGGTTGTATATTGGGTTGCCTATAATGTAATTTAAAAAACACTCGGTGTTTCTTCGTGGTGTTCAAGGTCTTTGCAGTCGCGTAAAACAACGTTCTGTTGTTCTTTCCTTGCAGCACGATATAACTCGACCAACTCTCGACTCTGGAGACTTTGGTCTCGTCCAGTCTCCTCTCAACTTTGTTGTGTGTGTGTGTACGAAAATGCAACAAGCCGTTGTGAGATGAGATGGTTGTGCAGTTGTTGGGGAGTTTGTTGGTCTCTTCGGTCTTTAATTTCGGCAATCAAAGAACGATTCGAAGCGTTTTTATATCTCTCGGCGTTTTATTACATTCTCGTCGTCGATTTCATTAATAAACGATGCGCAATTTGCATCGAAAAACAGCGCAAACAAAAGACGAGATCTTTTTGCACGCTCGCGATGTGCAATAAAAAGTAATCATAATTAAAAGTTGTTTATCGATATTTAATACAAATTTATTAGGACAAGCTGCAGCTCCGGCGGAGGAATTGAATGAATGCGAAACTTTTTCACGTGTTTAAAGTTCAATATTTGTTGAAATCGATAAATCTCGCACAGCGCATACGAGATTTAATACTGTGAACGTGTAGCATAATGCAGTTGAGATATTTATCGCGTTTCGCGGAATCGTCGAAGAACAAGAGCAAAAACAACGAGCAAAATTTTGCGCTCGCCAACGCGCGCAGAGTCTTTGTTGTGCAGCGCCACACTCGTAAAAATAAATGTCGAAAAATGTAGATTTTAAGCGATTTTCGAAGGAGTTGTAAACGTTACGAGTTACGTGATGAAATTATGAACGTGATCGCTCCGGCTCATTTAATGTCCCACATAAATTTCGTTGATTGCTCATTTGGCGCAGCGTTCGGTGATAATTTTTAATTTGGCAGCGAATAAAAACGCAAGATTTACAAGCGGAGACACGCGAGACAACAAAAGCCGATAAACACTTTTAATTAGTACATTTTCATATTTATTAGCGTTTGATGCATGCTGGAATTTCAACTGATTCCAAAATCAAACGAAAACACCGCACAAAACATGTTTTTATTATATATGCAACCAAATATTCATTTTTTGAGTGAATTCAGTTGCCTATATTTAAAAAAAACCAACAAAAATTCTTAGAAAATTAAAATAATCATTCGATACAAATCTTAAGATGAAGATATCAGTGCTGATAAAGTTTTACGAACGCAAAGCACTTTGCTTCGACCATTATCGCATCAAACTTTATTTCGTTTCGTTGCATTTGTTTGCGACGTTGCGCACACACTACGAGTATTCCGAAGCTTTCTATTCGAGTATTCTACGCTTGGCAGTTACAAGAAGAAGTAGAATCTACCTGAATTGTTGTAACTCCCCGAAAATTTTTACCTGCGTTCTGTACACTTGGGGTGCATTTTGCGCTAGCTTGCACCGCGTGCTATTTCGACGTCTATTTTTAGGCCTAGAGTTGTAGACCTAGGTAAGTTTAAGCCGGAGTCTAATAAATTAGCCGCTGGCGACGAGACGCGCGGGCGAAGTGAAAGCGAGCATCGCGCGCCAAACAATGCGGCGACATAATAAATATGTTTGAACATTTATCAATTCTCCAGGGGCGGACGTTATTGATGTTTCGGGCTGAAGATGGCTGTAGTCGAAAATTGATGAATAGAAGCGCATAAATAGTTTTTGGAGTTTTTAAAAATGAGATACAATTCTTTTAATTAGGCTGAGAAAAATATTTTTTAACAGTTTCTTGTAAAATGACATTTTAAAAACAGGTTTTTTAAGTTTTTACTTGAAATGTCTTATAAATTAGTCCAGAAAATGTGTTTATTACTTAAAAAGTGATTTTTTGTTTGCAAAAAAACTTTTTTTTAACTTTTTCTTAAAAAATATCATTTTAACAGCAATTTTCTTTGTTTTTGGCTAAAATTTCTTACAAATTAGTTTGGAAAATGTGTTTATTACTTAAAAGCACCCCCTAAAAGTATTTTATCCATATCACATCATCGTGAATGATTAAAAAGTGCATTTTTTGTACATTTTCCCGGTTTTTATGCCCGCTATGTTTTATTACC